TGTATGTATTTCACCTTCAATTTTTCATCCAGAACAGGTAGCAGTGACATGACATAAACAGAGTAAAGGTCACGAAGCTCGGAGATCCTCAAGTGCGTTAATGGCCTCTTGGAAGCCTGAATGAGGAAAACAGAAAAAGCTGAGATCACAAAAGAAATCTAAAGGCAACTCAGAACAGTACAGCTAATATGCAACAAAAGTTGGTGTATCTCTGTATTTGTGTTTTCCTTAAAGAGTTTGTATCTAGAACATTCCAAGTTCTATTTTTCCCTTTTTTTTTTTTTTAATCTTTACACAGAACAAATGAAAAAGCTGTCGTTCATACATACTCAACCTTGTCTTTCCTCTAACATTTTGAGTTTTTAAATTTAAATCCCTCAAAATATTGTTTTTGTGGTTCTGGAGACAGCAATTTCCATTGCAGAAGTATGTTCACAGCTTTTTAACTAGCTGAGATGAAGTCTTAGCTCTACAGAATTGTAACAGACGGAATCTGAAGAAACCATTCTCCAGCATTTTAAAATAGTTGACCATGCATTAAATTGGATTAACCACAATTTGGAACAAGCCTGCAGCAATGAGAAATAGACAGGATAATAGCAATAATGTGATAATATCTACTTTTTGGAGCAAGGCTTTAACAACTTACTAAGGCATACAGACCAAAGGTTATTTCCGACCTGATTTGGAAATCAGCTTTCCTGCATTATAAAATAAATTGCTTTATCTTTGAGTGATTAAAGTGATTAAAAAATATTCAGAATCTTTTTTTCAATGAAAATACAAATATTTTCACCACGCATAATTTCCATGTAAATGTTTTCAAATTTATGTTATGTGTTCCTTCAATAAACAGATCATGCTACGTTTATACAACAAAAAGTTATTACTTCAACTTTATATTTTACATCAAGAAAGCACTTGAAAGATGGCTTTGTTTGAATTTCATACTGTATCGTTTCGATTACAAGAGAAATTCCTAAATGTTGGCTTGGGACAATCCACGTTTTAGAAGAAAAAATATAATAGCAATCCAGCTCTCATATAAAAAACTGCTGAGAATTTTTACTTAATTCCAGTTGCGTGGATCCCCACGTTCATTGTGTGTACAGTATCCTTACATCAATGGTAGAAATTAATGTTGTGTAAAATATTAGTATTATTACTCTCTCAGATGAGTTTTTAGGTTCTCATTTGCTAAATGGAATTTGGCAACCATACCCAAAGGTCAGTATCCTACAACAACACAAGAGTAGAGCTACAGGAAGAGTTCTGTAGATGAGTGGCTTGGGAAATTCAGCTCTGCTATTTTGAGTATGTCCTTCCCCAGAGAGGGGGGAATTGTCTACACCCAGATACAAACAGAATGAACGAGAATGGTTTAGTGTTAGAATTAAATATTAAGGATCTTAAAATATTATGTGCTTCTTTCAATGACACTTTATATGCTTTATCAACATATCCCCTTTTTTTGGTCCAGTAAAACTGGGAAGAAAATCAGAATCACTCTGAATTCCTCAAGCAGTGTACAGGCTGTGAATGTGGCACATTAGTAACAAACCAACCCTTTTCAGAAGCTAATTGTAAAAAAAATAAAAAATGTTTTTACTGTCATGAATTACAAGATTCAAGTCATTCTTGTCAACTACATAACTGAATTCCACTCTAGGACCTTCTCACCTACAGCTGTTGCTGCACAGTAAATTTGAAAACTTAAAAGTAATTCTCAAGTGTTGAAGAAAAAACATGTATTCTGAATGCAAGTACAGTAATACATCATAAAGAAAAATCAAAGCAAAATTTTTCAGAAATGAAATCGTAGGCACTGATCCAACAGCAGAAGTTATTTTAGCTCTAGTTTTGTTTTTAAGTCTCCAGTGCCGATGATGAATCCATACCAATAGTATTCTTAGAGATCATATATTAAATATGTGATCAAACAAAGAGGAATGGTTTCAAGCTAAAAGAGAGAGGATTTAGACTGGATATAAGGAAAAAAGGTTGTTCTACCATGAGGGTAGTGAAGCATTGACACGTGTTGCCCAGTGAGGTGGTGGATGCCCTATGCCTGGAGACACTCAAGGTCAGGCTGGATGGATTCTGAGCAACATGATGTAACTGTAGGTGTCCTGGTTCATTGCATGGGACTTGGAGAAATTTAAAGGTCCATACCAACTCAAACGACTCTATGATAAACACTTCATGAATGACAATTTGTTCTCCAGCGTTTATGCTTTACTTACAATAATCAACTTGGCCATTTGGTGTTTAATCCATAAATAAGAAAGTTGTAATTTTATGTACATTAAAAAGTTAAAGTTCTGGCCATTCTCAGGAACACGATCTCTGTCAATTCTCAACAAGTCAGATATCTATGCTCAATACGCTGAAACAGATCACATCTGTAGAAGGGTCATGCCTCAACTGTCTGGCTTTGAAACTAAAGCAGGGCAGATGACACGCTAGATACAGAAATAGATTTGCTGAATAGCAGAATCCAAAGGCCCCATATGAAAATCTTCTATGGATACAACAGACTTCCTTAAGGAAGAAAGACAATTGATAGTAACATTCACCTGAGAGAATTTATCAACACTAAGAATAGAAGGACATAAAGTATACCTCAGAGACAACATGCATATTTGGCTACTTGTTAGCATTATTGTTGAAGTCAAAAGCCAGATTAAAAGACACACAGTTTGTATTTTGCTTTTTTTTTTTTTTTAAATTTGTATATTTTCTATTTGATTTGTGCTTATAATTTTGTACTGTTGTATCTATGTGACCATTGTTCACACACCAATGATTTTCTCTGAATAAATCTACTTCTACATATCTCTAAAACAGTGAACTGGAAAGGCTTGCTCCTGCCTGCATATTTTTCTCCTAATAATGTGCAATATGCTACTAGAGCAATAAAACTAGTGGTTTTCATACGTTATACGCGCCCTTAATATTCTTAGGAAAAGTTTATTCTATTCTGCAAGACAGTTATCAGTAACAATCCATGCTGTGGTTCAAATATTTGTGGTTCAAATATCTGGCCATAAAACTAATTTTTTTCATTTTGTATGACAGGCCATTTTGTCCTTGGATTAGATCTCGGCACCACAAAAGCATTTAGCTACCCTATTTCTTGTAGTGGTATTAAATAACCACTGTAGTCCCACTGTAATGGTTTATAGTTTTAACTTTAGCTGAGGTTCAAATGAAACTCAGCAGCAGCAGAAAAAAAAAAAGGTTTATTTTAGTCTAAAAAAAGAGCAAAGATACAAATTAAAGCCAAGTTCTCAGTACTAGAATATGCTTTTGTCTGTAACAAAAGGAAAAAAAATAAAGCAATGCTTTATTTGCTGGTGTCCAAAGAAACCAAGGACTTTGGCTTCTTGTTCCAGTTAACCTTGGCTTCTGCTACCTCTATACTTTGTTCTAGAAACCAGTTGTTTAGTAAAAGTGATTCCTTTGGAGATAGTTGATATCATAATCCATAAAATACAAAGGTTATTATGGATATGCAATATTATTTGAATAATGAGAAAAATCCTTTAACTTCATAACGAACATACCCAGAATTCTCTTCAGTACTTCATTGTATCCTAAATAAAAGGCTTACTTCTTTTGACTTTCTTTAATTTTGAGGAGCCTTCTTCTTTCTGTTAACAAAACAAATGAGCAAAAAAAAAGAAAAAAAATCAGGAAAACAACAAAGCAGTAATACAAGCTAACAGCTCAACTAAAAAATTTCTTCTGAGTGTTCCCAAGCCTCCAGCCGAGGCTCCCCTTCGTCTGTGCACCCAATTCACCGATGCCAGCAGGAGTGTTGCTGCAGTGTGGGCATGGCAGGCAGCCAGCGAGGACTTGCTGCCACCTCCCTAAAGCAGCTTGCAGGGCTCTCAGGTCGACATACAAAGTGCAAAGACCCTTCATACTGCATGGGTAGTGAGACCTCAAAAGGTCATTGATTGCTCAAGATAAAACATAAAAGGCAAGGGAACCTGGATGGAAACAGAGAAAAGTGTGTGCAACATATGCGCCTCCTGACTTATTTTATAGAGTGATTGTACAGTATGTTCTGTTGGCTATTAGCACAGATAATACTTACATCTCTGTGTAAGAAAATACAATTGTACTGAGCTTTAGAGGCTTTAGACCTGCTCCTTACTGATCAGCCTAATTTCTAGACAGTAAAAGCATTAAGAATGTGACTGTAAAGAGAAAGAAATGGAAGATATAACTGAGTTTTGAAGGACTGACATTGAGAAGCAGAAGTGTAGCCTAGAGGTAAATACAAGTAATAGTTTAGAGTAATGAAAAAATTAAGAGGATTTTAAATTATACACTATTGTCATTAGAACAGAATTCAGAGGAAAAGGTCAAAAAGCACAATTGGTATTAGGAACCCATTTAATTGCTGCTGTCCTTCCTCATAATAAAACATCTGAAATACATTAAATAATTGAGAAAATATACCTTTTAAAATTCCACACTGATTCATAAATAGCCTTTAGGAGTTCATTTCTACCTAAGTAATACTGAATTCAAGCATGTAACATGCACGTAACATTTACACAGCCAATAAGAATACCCATTGTTAAGCCAGACAGATAGAACTTTTGTCTGTACAATTCTACTTCAGAAACATATTTACATTATGTAACATCATTAAAGCTTTCATTCTAGTACTAACTTCCGCAGGAGACAAGAGCGTTAAATGCACACTTGAAGTAATACCAGCATAACTGATCATTTTTACCTAGAGTGAGCTCAGTAATATTTCTTTATTTCTCTGTTTTAAATGGAACATGATAAAATGATAAAGCTTGTATTTTCCTTTTTATTTCTTAATTTGAGTTCTTGTAGATTGGACTAAGGGTGTATGCGTGTAGGTCTTTTACCTGTCTTTTTCTGGCAGAGCCTTTCTTTACAGATGCTTCCCTGTTGCTCTCCTTCGTTGAATGAATCAGATTTGAGGTCACTGCTTCATCACATGTCTACAGGGAACAAATATCTGACATCTTAAAGTATGGAAGGTTATACATTCATTGGAAAAAAAAACAACCCACCAACAGTATTTTGTCAATCAGATCTCACCAACAAGTATTTGTAATGTCTACCACTAGCAGCGTGAATTATAATCTCACTACTCCTCAAACCAGGTTTCATCTTGATATCCTGACTTACCCTGTTTAGAAATTGCTTCATGTCTTGTCACTCTAGAAGCTAAAATGTGTCTGTTAGATGGCAAAAAAAATCTTATGCCCCTTAGTTCCCAGTGGTTTGGCACTTAGGAACTAACAAGTCTAAAAAACTGTGCACATGGAACGGTAAAAAATGCCAGGACATAACACATCACATTTTATAGGTGAAAACAGAAGCACAACACATTTCATCCATGTATCCTATCTGCAGGACATCATTCCCATAAAAATTGTACTAAAATCAGCTTAGCTATTTGTATTATCAAAATACAGTAAGAATCACAGAAAATTAGGATTGTAGAGAATGCCTTGAGGTCATCTAGTTGCAACTTTTACTTAAAGCAGTGATAACTTCAAAGTTAGATCACATTACTTTGGGCCTCACCCAGTCATGTTTTAACAAACTGAACAGATAATAGTTCTATTTCTTCATGCAACTTATTCCAGTGCTTAACTACACTCACTCTGGAGATTATTTTCCTTATACCAAGGAGGAATCCTTTGTGTTGTGATTTGTACTTTTAGCAAAATTTAGATTAAACTCATATTTGCAAAACCTTCCATGTTCGTCTAACAGAGCACTGCTTTATATACTCTGCAGTCAGTACCACACAAACAATGAGGTTTGAGATTCCTTCCAGAGACTGCTCATTGATATGGTTTTACAGTGACTGAACACTGAAAAATTCACCCTTAAACAAATCTTGATAGACTGATAGAAAGTTAGATAGACAGTTTTAAAGAAATTGAAACTAGTTATTCCACCTTAAAAGCCTGAAATTAAAAAAAAAAAAACTGTCTGTCTCAGAGGTCAAAGTAAATCATCTTCCCTTCCAGAACAACACTGGTTCAAAACATTAATACGTGTGGTAGAAATTTTAGATAATTTTAGACAATTATATTGAGAATTATGGCAGAACATGATGAAAGTCACCCTCGTTATCGCTCAGTGTTGTTTCAGAATATGCTTATTTTGTGAGAACCAGTGATAGTGACTGTTCTTTACTGTACCTGTTCACAGACAGAGTTGGAAGGAAGACAGGTTGTCTTAGCAATACAGTTCTTAGAACAGTAGGATGCTTTGCTTTCATCATTTTTGGCAATGCACACTGTATCATTTAAGATGGATTCATGAATATTTAACCCTCGTCCTTCATTTGATTTCTTTGTTTGTTGCTGTAATAAACTGGAATTTCTCACTTCATTCTCTAATTTACAATTCTGCAAATGTACTTTCTTCGACTGGCATTGTTTCCTAAGAACTTGTATGGTATTTTGACTTGCAAAATTTTTTCTCACTCTTGAATTGGAAGTGGAAGATGCAAATGTATTTAGTTTTGGACTGATATCAGATTTCTGAAGCGCTGACCTAACATTCTTATGCAGTGAAGGAGAGTTTGCCTTATTGTGACTGACTTCACACGAACTCCAACCTGCAGCTGAGTTACTGGAAGAGTCAGAATTAATCATTTGTCCACTAGACTCTGTTTTCCACTGAAATACAGATACATCTTGTTTTATACATGCTTTCTCAGTAATTGTCTGAAGTGAGCTGCTGTGAGTAGCAGTCTTATAAACCCCAGCTAAGCTGGACTTGCAAGCAGTCAACATAGTAGATCTAGCACATTTTACCAGTGATTGTCTTTCAACATTTTTTCTTTCCTTCCCATCAGTTTGATTTGTGGTGTTTCCATTCATCTGTGTCAACCTTCGTTTGAAAATTGGTATAATCTTACTAATCTTTTTTGGAGGGTGTTTAAAGGCAGAGCTTCCAGGCACTCCTAAGGACTTCCAAAGCGGTAGCTCTGATATTCCAGGTATTTGCTTACTGATTAATTTCTCAGTTGCTTCAACGCTGATCTCTTCTGCACTTTTCTTGCTACTTGAGAAAGTGTGCGGTTTTGGCTCTTTGATCAAATGCTCCATCCAGTGGCTGTTCTCCTTACTGCGTGAGGAAGAAAAGCTAGCCAAAGCCTGTTTCCTTGGAGGTGTTTGGGTCAGGGATACTACACAAACCATCTCTCCAGCCAATTTCATAGACTCAGACTGTATTTCCTGCAATATAGGGAGAGCTGCTAAACTCAATTAACTGGGTTTAAAAATCTGATCACCTAATGCATCTCTATACAATATATATGATACACTCAACAATATATAACCATACAAAATCCTGTTTTGAATTATAACTGCCTGTATTTTTGGATAATATTTTCTTGTAACCGTAACTGAAGATCCATTTTTTCCTTTTCTAGTTTTTCTGTTGTTTACAAACTATGCTGCAATATTGTATTTCTCAGAAGGAAAGTCTTTAATTACAGATATTATCATTGACTCAGAATCATAGAACAGTATGGGTTGGAAAGGACCTCAAAGCCCACCCAGTCCCACCCCATGCCATGGGCAGGGCTGCCCCCCACCAGCTCAGCTGCCCAGGGCCCCATCCACCCTGGCCTTGAGCACCTCCAGGGATGGGGCACCACAGCTTCTCTGGGCAGCTGTGCCAGAGCCTGAGTGAAAAATTTCCCCCTAACAGCGAATATAAATCTCTCATCTTGTAGTTTAAAATATTCTTCCTTGTCCTGCCATTACTAGACCACGTAAAATATCTGTTATTATTTTGGTTTAGTGATTCTCAACTGGACAACGCCCTTTCAAAGGGGTCTGCAGGGAGTTTGTCTGATAGGCTCTTAGGACTAATAAAGGCATCTGTATATTGAACAAAAGATGCCTGAATGCCTATAAAAACTGCAGATGACAAGGAGAAACCATCCTAGCTTTGATCATTGAAGAGACCTAAATAGGAACTGCGTTCTGAAAGAGGATTATAGTATTTTAAAATCTCTGCAATTTCTGTCAGCATTCTTTGTTGAGAATTAATTACTTCACTTCTTTCACATACTGCTGCCCGAGAAATTTGAGTCTCACTCTTTGTTAAAACTCCAATTAAGGGTGTTGTGCCTCCTCTCCGTCACCTGCCAGAGTAAATCGAACAGCTGGAGTGCTTTTAAACACCCAAGTTTATACAACTTAATTTTTTCCTTAGTTTGTTTTTTAAAAAATAATTTGCAGAATATCTTTAAAACTTATTATTCCAGAAGGAGTGTGGGAAAGTCCTGGAAACTTGACTGTAAAATAAGGATGATAGAACAGCAAATACTGATGGCAACAAATTAATACTATAACACTAGTTCTAATGCTAATTTCCTTTCTAATGTATTTTTCAACTGAACAACAATATAACAATGTAAAATAATGACACATTACACATTTACTAAAAAGAACTTGATCATTGTTGAAAGCACATGTTCATGCTCTCAGAGTTCTGAATATCACAAAGCTTACTTCAAATCAGAAACAGAATACATGATATTAGTATTTTTATTAAGAAAAAAATGACAAAAACCTTACACACACTGGGGTTCGGGAGAGTTCCTGTGTAGCATAAAGTGCTTTGCTTGACATCCTTACTGGAAATCCACACAGATGTGAAAACTTAGCCTTTGCGTCAGAAATAAAAGAATTCAATACACTTTCTGAATCTGTTCTAGGGAAATACTGCACTGGATGACTCCGAATGCATCTTAGAGGGTACCTGAATAGTGTTCAGGGATACATAACAAGCTTCTTTGTATTTTCACAATTATGAATCACTTTCCTTTAGAAAAAAATATGAAGTATGTCTAAAGATTTTTTTTCCTCCAGAAAGTTGAAGAAAAGCATCTACTTTAAGTGACCAAAGCTTACAAACTTACAGGACTTCAAACATTCTACCCTACTGCAATAATGGTATATAACCTTTAATCTAGTCTTTCCTAGCAAGAAAATCTCTCTAAAATAAATATTTGCTCACCACAGTTTTACAGAAATAGTGTTAATTTAATTGATTCTTCTAAGGCACCATTTAGATTGGCAATATCATATTTGCAGAAGCTGAGAAGCAACCTGACCTATTTGACTTCCTATTATTCTAGCATATAATTTCTAGCATAAAATTCTAGCACAGATAGATGTAATTTTTTTGTTTCAGTTTGACTAACAATGCAATTCCACTGATTTCTGTGAAATTGTAGAAGAAAATGTGGAGCATTCAAAAATGAAAATTTAGGTCTCAGCTAGCAGAGTGATAGAGGACATGGAACAAAAATATTCTCAAAGGATACGTAAATAACCTTTCCCCTATTGGCTTGAAGTAAACACTCAAGTATATTTCTCTCCCCTCAGTATTCTCTGGAAGAATATATCCATACTAAAAAACAAACAAAAAACCCCACAAATGTGCATTACAAATTTAAGTTTATATTAAACATAAGGAGGAGAGGGAAAATACAAAACCAGTGCTTTTTACCAGATTCTTCCAGTGCATCTGAAATTCTTCATATGAGTGGAAAGGAGATCCTGGAGGAATTCTATGGCTGATGTTTATGATCTGACCCATTTTCATGCTGTGCACAGGTGGAAAAAAATGCTTATAAAGGATGTCATAAAGCTCATTTAAAAAAAAAAAAAGAATCAGGCATTGAAATGGGCCTGGGGAGGAGGAGTCACCAACCCTGGAGGTATTCAAGGAGTGCTTGGACTTTGTGCTGAGGGACACGGGTTAAGTGGGAACTATTGGTGACAGGAAGATGGTTGGACTGGATGACCTTGTAGGTCTTCTCCAACCTTGATGATTCTATGATTCCATGATTATTTGGCATTTAAAGCATTATTATTCTCCAGTTTTAAGAACTAACATCTTCAGTTCATAAGATAACAGAGCAAGAGCAACATTTCCTGAAATATAGGCAAGAGCTTGGAACCTACAAGGCTGATTGCTCTCATCTGTAATACCCACTACCACTGAGTATAAAGCAAATGAAAATGTATCATGACTTCTGACACTTATGATGAAAGCCATAGGTGAGGATTAAGACAGTCTGTCGCAGAGATGAAAATATTTTTGTCTTTAAATTTACACTTCCTTCTACAATTATACTCAAAGAAAAGTAACATTACAACAGCAGCAAATAGTACTAAAATTGAAACAATGTTTAAACACATAATTTGTGATTCACTCATTTTTCTTTCACATTTTCCATAACACTGAGACCTAGAAGGAAAATTTCGTGAATGTAAAACGTGTTCTTATCACTAGCACTGAATTTACAGTTTGAATGGCAAACGTTCCAAGAAATATTTGTTTCTGCTGTAATTTAAACAAATGCCTACCTTGGCAAAACATAGCACCAGTTAGTTAATATGGAATGACCATCAATAACTGTGTTTTCATTGCTTTCAAACAGCTTTATGGTGTTAGCCGAAATATCAAAATCTTCCAGCTTAAAATAGAAAAAAGTTATTTGCAAATATCTCTATAGTAGTACAAAATTTAAATATAAACACTAATCGTATATCACAATATAATGAAGTTTATACGTTATTCATTCATCTCTCACAGACTCTTTACGAAATAAGTAAAATCAGTGAAATTTAAATGTTAAGTGTGTTAATAAGAATACAAAACAAACTAAGAACTGTCTCACTTTCATGCAGAGTTTCTGAGTTTAATTTTAAAACACGTTTGACTGCCTAGGAACTTCAGAAGCCACTCTGCATGATCAAGTGATTTGAGGTTGTGGATGCCCCATCCCTGGAGGCATTCAAGGCCAGGCTGGATGTGGCTCTGGGCAGCCTGGTCCATTGGTTGGTGACCCTGCACATAGCAGGGGAGTTGAAACTAGATGAGCATTGTGGTCCTTTTCAAACCAGGCCATTTTACGATTCTACGAAGTGCCAAGATCCCAGCAACAGAATTAGAACACATTCTCACAAAGGAAAAATTTGGTTGTTGGGGCCAACCTAACACAGATTTAAAAAACATTTTCTCATTCTATGCTCTAGCATGGTTTGCATTTCTTAACTGATAAGAAAATCAGTCAATTTCTGTTTTAGAAAAGTATTCAAATAGTCAAACAGACAGTGAAGCCACACCACGATCCCTTCCATTAATCCAATTCCAAAATGACATAAGGACAGCTTTAATATTCATGCTGTCCAATTAGGTCACAAAGGAAATCTTATGTTTTCTGTTCTTTAAAAGAATACTTTGGATCCAAAATACTTATTTTGGAAAATAATCAGAAAATCTAACAAATATGCCTCTGTATGTGTGGATGTACTGACATGGCCAATTTTTAGCCTCAGCCATTACTTCTTAAGCCATTTACAAAGATGCACGACAGGCTGCACCTGTGTTTTGGAAGCTGCATAAAAAACACAACAAATTCCAGAGAAAACACATCCATTTACCTTATACATAGTGCTGACATATTACCTGCAGCTTCACTTCTAATATGTTACTCAAAACTGGTTATTTATTACAGTGAGATTGTGACTTGCTTTTAGAAAAGACTGTTAGAGGGAAATTTAGAAAGTAGTCTAGAATCTGTATGACAAAGATACTTGGAATGCTTGCTGGAATGCCTCAATATAAAAAAACACGGGTGTTACACACTTAATGATTGTATAGTTAGTCAACGTGATTACTTCTTAATACATCAGAAATAAGCCATTCTACCCCCATCATGCTAATTGTAAGTCACCTAGCAGAAATGAAGATAAAGAGTAGCAAGATAAATACAGCCATAGAAAATAGAACTGTGTTATACCTCGGGGGGTGGTAACCGGACTGAGCAAGCCTCCACACTGATGCAAAGCTGCTTTTCTGATACATTGATGTCTAGAACTAAAATAAAACTGAAGTCCAAAGTCCTGTTCCAAACCACAACTCAACTGTTAAGCTGCTGAACCAAATGATTATTTACAGCCATTACCAGTTAAAGTACTGAGTTTAAAAAACAGACCTCAGCATGGAAATAAAAATTGCATTTTAAGAATGAAAATAAACCCAACAACTAACTGCAATCTATACATCTCCCTGTGAACTCAGGGCCATCCATGCAACTGGGAGCTTGAAACTATATGTTTGACCAGGGCAAGCACTTACTGACTTTCCTCTGGAACATTCACCCACCTGTGGTGCAGAGTCTGAATGTATTACACTTCCAAATATATATTCTTGCTGCAAATTGGATGCCAAAATATTCATCTGTTGTAAATTGGATTCAATACCCCAAAACGTAATCTTTCGTTTTTATATCAGAGTTTTAAAAATAAATTTAGTTTTGTATTTCCTGCAATAGTTAAGCAGCATGCTTTAATTTTGCAAACCGCAAACAGTCAGTTTTGTTCCTTTTCCTATCTATTATTATGATTAGGCTTCCACACTGTAATTTTAGGCCAGTGCATTTAACTGTAATAATCATAATATTTTAATGATAGGTTTTAATCTATAGCTATAGATTAATAGTAGAAAAAACTACTTATCTGTGTGTAATCTTACAAGGCTTCAGACAAATTGACAACAATTACATAGAAAAAAAACAGGCTGCCATCAAGGCTGTTTTGTCTGAGATTACTTCAGAATGAAAAAATATTATGCTGTAATAAGATAGAGGCATCATTTCAACCTTAAGTTCACATAATTACACCTTATTCACTTACACAAGGTTACCCCTAACAGAAAGCTGTACTTACCAATTGCATTTTGCCTTCCTGTTTGAGACAAAAAATCTCTTCCTTAATAATGCAAAATAAGTAAATATTATTTTCTAAGCCATTAGCATCTTAAACAAAAAGCAAGCTAGACAAAAGTATATTAATGGATAAAGATTCACAGATTTCTTTGCCTTCTGAGAAGGAACTTACACATGGAAACATTTTTAATTGACTAAAAGGTCCATGAATTTCTTAAATTCAAAATCAAAGCTATATAGTACTACTATATATTTTAACATCTACCATAAACTTTGCCAGACTTAGCAATACATACATGATTAAGCAAGCTGCGTGCACCAGGAGCATGCCAGTGTTTGCTAAAATTTCACTGAAGCTGCATTTTATATGAGCTACTACCTAGCCTTCTACTTGTTATTACTGAATAAGCTGATTTCATAGACCTGTATGCTTTGAAGACACTGAAAAGAAAGATACTGCTAATGCTGTGGCTAGAAATAAGCTAACAGTACATAGCACTTTTCTCATTGTATATTTTGAATGATCTACACAACAGCTTTACTTAGTAGGAGCACACCATAGCATCTGAAACATCTATTTTTCCATAATTCAGTAATTTGAAAACTTATTGCACAATATAGAAACACCAGGCAACAGAACTTCTACCTAGAAGAACAATAATGAGTAGAAGATTGTATAATCAACAAACACACAGATGCAACAGTCATAAAATACACCAAAGAGTTTAGATACGCAGTTACCAAACCAAAACAGAATAGATAGGATGCATACCCATACCCTAGGCTCACTATAAAACTCCAAAAGAAGGACCTCTCAAAGGAGGTCCTTCCCCACTGGCAGTCAGCTCTTAAATGGGTCTAGGAGAGGTGCAGCCAGGCTCCACCTCTTCTGGCAGCACAGCTGAATTGCCTTCACCTGTGCTCCGATGGCTGACTCATTGCTCACCTCAGGTGATCAATCAGAGGTTCAGGCCATGATTCAGCAGTTCCTATACAGAGATAGATGATAGAAAAATGCTTCTGTACTAGGAAAACATAGTCAAGCCCAGCAGTTCCATTGATGAAAGCACAAATCTGAAAAACAGATGATGTTCTTAGAAGACGTTTACTGTTGTAGGGGGACTGTGAGGTCACAGCCTGAACTGGTGATTGAGCACCTGGTGAAGGGGTATGGCTGATCCAGGGAGCACAAATTGTTTGCATCTGTGCTCCCCACGTGATCAGAAGGGGTGGACCCAGGATGGAGCCATGCTGGGCTCATATAAGGGCCGGCCATGGAAGGGAGAGTATCTCTTGGGTTTAGGTTACTTTCTGGGAAGGAGTGCTGTATAGCTGGAGTCTTTTCCTTGCCTTGGTGAGTTTGACCTTTTTTTCTCCTGTATGTGTTTATTGGCCAGCCTGCATAATGCTTTGTTTAGTATAGCTGGGAACCTGTGAGTAGCGCAAATGCTTTGCTTAGTATAGTTGAGAGCCTGTGTGATCTTATTTCTTTGTGAGCAGAACAGCTATGTGATAATATCTGATTTGGAAATAATTAATTCTCTCTGTTATTTTCAATTAAAATAACATAGTCTATTATAAAGAGGAAAAGATAAAAAAAGTTAATTTTTTTTTTAGGTTTAAAACTTAAATAAAGGAGTAAATAAGCAATGAAAATGTAACTAAAGAAAAGATATATGGAAACAATATAGTAGTTAAAGTAAGGAAAGTAACTGCAATAATAAAAAAACAAATGCTTGATTCTTAATCTGAGTGTGTGGAATACCTTGCACCAGGAGATGACCAGCCTTGTTCCACTTAGGCGTAAGTCTGGCTGTGAGCGTGTAGGAGAGACAGTTTTGGAGGATGGCTGGATTAACTTTTTGTGGTGCTGCCAGCTAAAAGCCATCAATGAGAAAAGAGGAAAAAAAAAATACTTAATGTACCTTTTGTAAAGATTTATATCAGAATCTTAGTAAAGATACTGTTACTTTTAAGTCAAATCTGAGTGTAAGTTACACCTCTTTTCATCTACATAGCTACAAGTTAGCACAGTATTTGATGTAAACATCTAGATTTCGTGGTTTGTTGGAGTATGGTGTGCTACAATTCATCTAATGTTTTCATAGGGAATATAACTCCATTCGCTTAAGTTTTTTTTTCCCCAATGGAGCTATCTATTACATATCTTCATACAAAAGCTACAGCTTCCAAAACTTAAGTATATTAAGTTTGTGTGAAATTCCAGACCTCTTGCAATTGCTGAAGCAACATGCATGGAGCTTTGCTCATGTACGATACTACTTGTGTGTTTGACTCTACTGTATAGCTGCATGAAAGCAATACCTACAACTGGCTGTGCCAGAGCTTTGACTGCAATTAGTTTTTGTGAGTTAGCAATTTCAGTACCTCCACACATCTATAAAACCCACAATTAGTGCATACTAAAAGATAGTAAAGCATATGCAGAATGGCCTGAAACAGGAACTGCTGTTATGCTTCTGGGTTCTGTCTCTTTTCTATGCTTCACTTTTGCTTTTGAGACACCCTATCCTATGTGGGCTTGGGAGAACAAAACATGAGTGGGGAAATACTCAGCTCTCTAACACCTCATCAACAGAACCTACAGGTTATGTGGGTAGCTTCATGCCACCAGAAGGACTCTTTGGTCTGTCTTTGCCTCAAGGTTAAATGTTAATGCTTTTAAGCAGGATTAGGACCCCACTACAGCAGAGGAATCTAGTGAAATTGCTAAGGGAGTTTCTTAAGGTTTTTCGCTGACTGAGTATACTTATTATACTCAGATTAATGAGATACATTTTGACAACAGAATGGGCTTTTCTTTAAAACCTTGAACTTTCTCTTCTGTAGAGCAAATTGCTTGCCCTGTGAAAAATACTTGTCTTTGTCAACAGCAGTCACAGACAGATGAAACTGTCTGAAGAAATGAGACGTCTTCCAGCACTTACAGTAGCTCCTTGTCTTTCTACATATGCTTCACATAATCCTGATTTGTAGAATGGTATCTAAAAAAGAAAATTCAAGTGTCTGAAATTGAAGAGAATTTTATCAAACCTTACATCTTAACCACTGTATTGCTGCCTTAGAAAAAGCATACTGAGGAGTACTTAAAGAAAATAGCACATCCTATACTTTCAAGGGGAGTAACAGCAAAACTATATTTAGGTGTTTGCCATACAGCAATCTCATTTCTTGGTGAAGATGCATTGCCAAGTGAGCAAGAGACTGCCCAAAACAAAGTGGCAGAACCTGGCTCTGCTGTTCTTTGTGGCATCTTACCAAGTCAATTCTGTTCCACAAGAGGTTCACTCCCTGAGAAGATAATTTTGTCAAAAGAGAAAGACCTAAGCACTCATCAACATTACTAATGCGTAGTACAAGTGTGATTGAAATTAAGTAACTTATTCTTGGTGCTCAGAGTCCTTTGTGAAGATGTGTGGTTATATGTAACTACATATCCTTATTTATTAGTGGTTACTGACCGCCATGACAACTGAAATTTGATTTAATGTTCCAATAACAGGTGCAGAAAGGACATCTTGATACAGGAATATTAGCTGTCTGTAGATTAAAAAAAATAGGAAAACTTTAAAAGTAAACTCCCACTTCTAGTTTATTTTTTCTTACTATTAAAAAGATAATACATTGACTTTTTTTTTAATCACTTTCCAGTGGCTCAGTGTAATGTGTCAAACAAACCCAATTTACTTATTCTTAACCCACCCACAGAGGTCTAAGGCACAGATTACAGGCCTTTGGGAAATTAACAGATCTGCCTCAAAGTATTCTATTTGGCAGAATTTCTCATTTCTTCCCTTTACAGGGAATGGATTAACACTTTCTGAGTGCAAGGAATGTGCACATTCTTTCTGAGTATCCTGTTCATTGTCTCAACCTACAAAAAGCATTACAGTATCTCAAAAGATGTACCTAAAGCATTCCAAGTTTGTATGTTTACAGAGTAACTTCACACATTCATCAGTTTCAAGCAAGTTGTTCTGTAAGTTTTAACTGATGGCATTTAAAAACACAATAGTACATTTTCCCCAAAGCCAGCACATCACCCATCAAAAACATAAATTACTTCGAAAAAATGTCATAGTGTTTACTGCTAATAAGAATTGTGCTGATCTTATTACAGCTAATTCTAGTTGCACTAATAACATTGCTGAATAGCAAACACTGGTAGCTTCTGAAAATAACTCAGATAATTCGTTACCTGCAGACTTTTATCTGAGTGCTCCTCATCTCACTTTCTGGTAACTGGGGGCTCAGTGTTATTGTAGCAGCACAGAGTTTCTGCAGATCTGGCAGACTGGCAAAGAATAGAGACTGATGCCTTCTGTCATTCATGTTCTACCGCTGATTTCACTGAAATGGAACCTGGATCTTACAGGAATGAATTGCATTCTTTAAAGGTAGGTATTTACAGAACTTTGGAAGGATGTGATATCAGATAAACCACTAATCAGTTAATTGTCTTCTGACAAGATTAGATAGGTAATATACATATATGGCGAACAGAAGCAGGCAGCACAACATACTTTTTTTAAATAAATGTGTTATACTTTATTTTCTTTTAAGAACCAGAATATTAAGAGTAAACAAGGGTGAAAATATCCTTTACACATTGTGAGTTTGTTTGGGCTGGAATCTGTCTGGGATCCAAGTGCTGAGGAATTCTTCGGTGAAGTTTGTCCCCTACTGGCTGGCAAGAAAATTAAAGTGCCAGGAGTTCAGCAGAGAGAGACACCCTCACCAAGTCATACAAGGACCCCTCCTAGTGCTGCAGGAGACTTGTGTACTCCCTGCTTAAATCCACCACTCATCAGGTGACAGGTCAATGCTGTATCCTTGCCTATGTGAAAGGCAGTATTTTCTTATGCAATACTGCAATCTCTACTGATTCAGAATCACATTAAGCTATGTTGTTTTCCTATTCTCATACTCAAAGTATGCAAAGCAGCGTTTTTGTCTCAGTGGATGTCTTAGTTGTGGGTATCTTAGTTACATTCTGACACAGCTGTAAAAAGAGAACAGACTTGTTCTTTGGAGTGGAAGGTGATTTGAAGTACAGTGGTCCTAATGAAGCTGTATCTCACAACCTAAGCTATGCCTTAAAATAGAAATTGACTACATTTTGTGGGCAAGAGTATGAGGCAGTTTGGGGGAGGCAGTTTGGATCTCAGGCCACAATATTGTCTTGAATTACATGTGACTGGATATTTTAGAGAGTTAGAATGCAGAGCATGTGTATGCTGATTGCTGTAACACAGACCAGGCCTGCTGCAATTCCATAATTTTTGGAATTTTTCTAAAAAAGCATTGAAAAGAACCAAAATAGCCAGAAGTTCAGACAAAGGACAAGATCCTACTATTCCTTCTTGCTATTTCTCCCACAAATGGGCGGAGAGAGCAGTCAGTGTAAACTGTTATCATTCCGTAATGCTTTGCACAATTCAAATAGCAATAACTATTTCAGGACTATACACTGAGCAGAGACAGGAATTTCTTCCTTTCCCTGAACTTGCTCCTCAAAATGCATTGTCGGTAAGAAAGACCAATGCTAACAAATTTCAAGAGTGTGAATAACATAGTTACAGTTGTTACCTGGTTTTCTGTTATGTGCCTACTGTATGAATCTACGTACTGCAGCACAGTCCAGGTGCAATACAAAGGAAATAGAATGTTTATGACAAAATGTACATGTAAAATTTCATTATTCAAAGAAAATACAGACCTTTACTACAGCAGAGATCTCAAAGTGCTCCACAGAGAAAAAGGCAGGCTGAAAATCTACTTTGTATCCAAGGGGAGCCACCAGTGCTACATACCAAAAGCAGCTGTTTTAATGTTTCTCCTACTCACCTCCAAATCAAAAAAAAATTCTTTTTGGAAAAATGACCTTACCAAAATGGGTGAAGTTATCAATAAATAGAAAGCAATTTTGTTGTCCAAATGTTATGAAGTCATTAGATATCTGAAAAGCAGATTGTGTAACTCATAGGATCCTTGGAAAGGACCTCTAAGGGCCATCTGGTCCAACTCCCCTGCAGTGAATATATGATATTGTTTAAATCAATAAATATGATAGACTGGATAAGCTTTTTGAGGAATGATTTCAACAGTTTTTGCTAGTTCTGACAGTTTTGCTGTTCTAATTTTTTTGCTTTGCATTACTTACTGCGAAACACTAAAAACCTTTATCTCAAATTGTAGGAAAATCCCAAGATTGGTGTTTTGAGACAATTTTTGAGAAAATGGTATTTCCTTGTTTCTTATCCTTAAAATATCTCAAGTTTCTTCTTGCTATAATGAAGAGTGACAGGAAACTTCATCAGATAATTAAAAAACCTATGGTTGCCTTTAAGGCAAAGCACCATTTCAAACAAATGGAGAGAAAAATCATCTTATCAGATTGTGAACACAGAAAAGAAAGGCTGGGTCCTCTGCTTTCATTGACCCTTCAAAAGACTTTTAAAGTTCAAACGGGGATTTCTGTGATAAAGATCACAGAATGTAAAGCACATTACAGTGTTCCTGGGCTTTGCTCTCTGGCAGAGGACAACTCTCCTGTGGGAGCCACTTGTTGTGTTCTTCCCAATGATCATAAAAAACTAATGGGGCGGAGTGCTGGTAGATGGTTTGTTCCCTCAGGGGAGAGCAAAAAGAGAGAAGTGCCCAGAGACAGAGATCTGCTAATCAGGAATTGCATAAAACAAACCCAAGTGCCTTCTTTATCTTATCAGTAGATCTTGACTGTGCAGGAGGAATTACACCTGTAGATGCAGTGATTGTAACACGCCATCTTAAAACCAACACAACTCATGCTAAGGTGGCCTTCAGTCAGAGAATGGCTGTCACTGTTCTTCATTCAAAACAGGCAATCACAGAATTGGTGAGCAGTATTTCTAGTTTTCATACCAGCCTGGGCAATGGCACCCAGGGAAGGAAGGCCTTCCTCATTAGTACTGAAAGCTACACAAAGCTGTGAGGGGCTGCACGGACTTGTGGCCATTGGGTTTGCTGTCATAAACTGGAGGTAGCACCTGAATCGTGCCCTGTAAGCGTTATGTCACTTAAGTTACGTTAGAAACAAACAAGCAATCCCTCCTCCCCACCAAAAAACGAGCAACCAAACAAAAAAAAAAAGACAACCTAAAACCACACTGGAAGCAGTGAATCAGGACGCTGCCAACCTGAAGGAGTTGACATACACACAGCTGCTCTGGAGCTGGGTTTTACCTCAAATAAAACTGAAGGAAAACAGGGCAACTGTGTGTGGAAGATCGCAGCCGAGAGAAGGCGAGGGAACAGCTCCTGACCCCTCAGAACGGTGGGCAGGCGCTAACGAAGGCCGTGAGGGCGCACCTGCGGCAGGAGCGTAGGGCGGTCCCGTGAAGCGCTCCACCTCACGGCCACAGCGCGGCGCCAACAGCGCCTCCCGCCCGAGCAGCCACAGCGGAGTGTGGCCTGAGGGGAAGATAAGCGGGCAGGAGTCCGCACGCCTTTGGCTGACTGAGGGGAGGCGGCGCACGTGACCGAGTCACGCGCAGAGCGCCGATCGCGCCCAGGGAGGAGGAGACCTGGAGCGCACACCCCACATCTGTGGCGACATCGTTAGCCCCGCCCTGTACATGGGATCCGCCAATCCCCGGCCGATAGCGTGATGACTTCTTTGAAAGACATACCCTTTCGCCAATGAGAGAGCAAGAAGTGGAGGGGGGAGGCGGGTGGTGATAGGCTGTTGGCGGGGCTGTATTTGGCGTCCGCGCGTGAGAGCGGGGCTGTGGTGAGTCGCGGCGGTGTGCTGTCTGTCGGGTGGTGACATGGTGGGCTCCAGCGAAGCGGGCGGTGAGGCGTGGCGGGGCCGCTACTATCGGCTGGAGGAGGTGCAGAAGCATAACAACAGCCAGAGCACCTGGATCATCGTGCACAACCGCATCTACGACATCACCAAGTTCCTGGATGAAGTGAGTGCCCGCGAGCGGGAAGTGTCCGTAGGGGGCGGTCGGCTGTGGGCTCCGGGCGGCTCTCGGGGCGGCGGCTGTCCCCGAGCGTCGCCTAGGCAGTGGTGGGAGCCGGCTGCTGCTTGCGTTAGGCTTGCCTCGTTTGCAGCGCAGCCCTCTCGGTGCAGCTCCGTTCCCGAGGGAACTTCTTAAATATCTGGCTGTTCCACGTGTTGACGACTCCGCGGAATGGCACTCTTGGGTTAAAATGGTCCGTAGTTATACTTTATTGTTTGCCCTCTTCGCATGCTTTTGGTAGCTGGCTGACTTCAGAAGTGAAGTACTGATTTTTGTAGACCTAAGGCACTCTAAGGTATTTACACGTGACAGATAAGAAGAAACTCATGCTGGCCGCATGCTGGTGCATCCTGGGTTATGGTAAATGCTTCTCAGCAAAGCAGGAATTACATTAGCTGTTTCTATAATATTACCGGTCAAACTCTGTACCCCTATGGCTTCTTCTTGCAGGAGCTGAAAAGCTTAATGTATTTCAGTAATTAATTCTAGGCTACTGATAAGGCTACTGGTCCTTCTGAGAGAGTGCTGCTAAAACATCATCTCACTCTTTCCTGATAGGAGATTACACATGAGTATCAGTTTACCAGGGAGTGAAGAACTGGAAACAGCAGCAAGCTTCACCAGTCTTATTCCTTAGTTCAACATGAAATTCTTCTAGCTGCCGCCTTAAACTATGGAAATATTCCCTTAGTGCTTCTGGAGTCGAACACTTTCCAATGCTTCACTGTTAAAGACACTGGATGTTCTCATGCTTAAGATGTGAATGGTGGTGCTGCCTTTCACTACATTACAGTACTTAGAGGGTATGTTTTGTCTGTGCAGCTGCAGTCTCCACTAAAAGCTTGTAGATGCTTTGTGGAACTTGGGCTTGGGGAACCATCAGCCTTTGTCAATACTGAATTGAATTTAGTAGGTGGTGTGAGGTATACACAGTGTGACTGCATTAGCTTAGTTTCCTAAGGCCAAGGCTTAATAAGATGAAGTGCTGGAGAAGAAAAGGGTTACATACTTTGATATCTTACTGTAGGTAAAGACTCCAGCAACCGCTTTTTTTTTTTTTCCTCTCCAAGTGGAAACTCTCTTACTCTCTTAAATTTTATAATTTGAATATATATCTGAATTTTCTTTTATATCAAGGTATATCCTCTTAAGATGGGTAATCCAAAGAGCTCAGTTTTTGGAGTGTGCTGTCTGAACATGTTTGACATGAAAGACCATGCTTGAGACTGGGAACTTTGGTATCATCTTCTTCATTTAAAGGCTGTTGGAACCCATGTTACTGCAACTTTGGGAAACTTTTATAGTTTCGGGTCTGGCATCCTCTAGGAAAAATTAGTTATTAGAAGTGATTGTGTACTCACAGCAGGATATTATGGCTTTATCTGTACTGCAGATAATTAAATACATTTATAATATTAAATGTAAATTAATGAGTTAAGCATGGTGGTAATGTTTGATCATGTTTTTAGGCAAGTAAATAAAGCAATCCTGCTGCACATGCTTTGACAGCAATCTAACAAGCTAAACAAGTAGTTTAGTATATTAAAAAAAAATAAAAACCAAAAAACAAAATAATCAGTGTCCTGATCTCTGCTTCCTCTTGCCTAATTTCTTAGGTCCTCCTAATTTCTTTGATGGAATCTTGGTTGGATTGCTTAAGCTTGGCCAATGTGAATAAGAACGCCTCTACCTCAGAGAAATTATGTGTTCTGGAAGCATGCTATGAAATATGTTGAATATTCACCTAGTGTTAACTTCATGTTTAAGTTACTTTATCATTTCAAAGATTGATTTGGAAACACGATTCAGAGTGAAAACATTAATGGCCAATGTAGGCTTTCTTCATAAGCTGAGAACTTGTGCTTTCATAGCACTTCCTAAATGGGATGGAGAGCTCTCTCAAAATGGGTTTTGGAATGCTGATTGAATTAAATGCAGAAAAAAGAAATACTGTTTTACTGTGCCAGAATGAAAAAATGGCCTCTCTGCCATGTGGCAGTGAATTCACAGTTTTGTGATATGGTGATATTCTTCTGGAAGATGGGTATAAGTTAATGAATAGCTTACATCAAAAGGTGCCAGTAGGAGCACACTGTTAAGTCTGTCCATATACCACGTGAATTCTTATTGCAAGACTGCAAGACCTTGCAGTCTAAAGATTAAAGCCAGTGTTATGGTGAAACTTGCAGGGGGATTTAAAAATGCTTTGAAAAAGAGCAATTCTTAGCATTCTTCCTGTGAAACACTGCAGGCTGTAATTGTTTTGGAGAAGTGGGTGCTCAACCAGTGAGTGTTTTCTTTGCACTGTGTATAAAACCCTAATGATGGCTTTCAAAAATACAACTCACAAGAAGGACTACTCTTCTATGCCCCTTAAGTCTTATGTGATTGCAGAATTTCTGTTCTGCAGCTCTAACAGTTGATGGAACTAATTTGGAGAACTCCTAACTGTGTGAAAGTGTCCTTAAAAGACTAACAGCTGTTTGCTTTTCTACACAGTAGAGCCAAAGGTTCTCAGGGCATTTCTGTCTCTGCTTCTGGTGTATTTTGTAGAATACAAAACTGGTGGAGGCCTTCAGTTATCTCCTCAAAACTTAAATTGGACTGAAAACTCAATTCACCCCTCAAGTATGGGGGGCAGGATGGGGTGATAAGAATGGTGAATTATGGTAGTTAAACAATCTTGGACTATGACACTGGGGAAGTTGCGTGACTGTGGCAAGAGGGAGAAGATCTGATAGGTGTTCTGGATGAAGTAACTGCAGACTTTTGACCCAGATGACAACAGTGAATTTAACTGCTTAGTTGCTTTATCTAAATCTAAATGTGCTGCTATAAGTAATTAGTCTATGCTGCCTTGCTACAAACTTCCGTTACACATGTAACTTAGATATCTATGTTGTTAAATTGGGACAGTCTTTGGAATGAGCTAGAGTAGTTTGAGCAGCAAAAACCTTTTCATTTCGATTGAACCACATATTTATCAGCAAAAATACTTACTTCAAAAGGACTTTGGTTTAGGGGTCATTAGTGGGATAGTCCATGAACTTCTACTTCCAGAAAGCTTTTCTAATTGCAGTGGAAGTTCTGGTAGAAAGTTTTTGCTTATCATGTGGAAATATGAGCCAAGGCTGTGCACAGACAAACTTTGAGAGGACTCATTGAACCGTGGAAAACGGGGAGCTTTTGATAGAGAAGTCATTTCTTGTCATTTGTGAGGCTTTATGTTTTCTCTTTTTTGTCAGGGGAAGTCAAGTCTTTTTGTTGTTTGCTTGTTTGCAGGCAGGCTGTAAATTTTCATTTTTAAACAGAGTTATTGTCAAAACAAAATGTGTGAAGTTTCAAAGTACTTTTGTCTAGTAGGTTACTGGTAATGTCTTCTGCTATTTGGATTAAGTTGGAAATGTGTTTATCTCTAGTGTAGTCCTGCTGATACAAGGGGAAGAGTACTACTGGTCCAGCTTTGGTGGCAGAGGTCAGAGTGAATTTGACTCCAGCAGCTGCTGTGTAGCAGGGCATTGGTCATGGTCACGCTTCCTCTATGATGACACTGACTGCAGAACCATGGTATTGGAGGAATCAGTTGCTGCTCAAACTGAAAACAAATTCATCCGAGGGAGGCTGGAGTGCCTTTTGGAACTGTTTGTGTAGCTCTATGATTATAGTAGTACAAGGGAAGTATTTGGGAACGCAGTAGTGGATGACTGTACTGCAGTCAGCAGTCTGCAGGTGGTTTGTTAAAGTGCCCCGTGGAATGGCTTTAACTTAGATGCAGTTGTATGCTAGGAATCCACTTGTTTGGCAACTGGCTGAAGTTAATGGTGTTCTATCTGTCTACTTCTGTGAATGAGTAGGGCTTGGATTCACTTCAATACGTGAATTTGAATGTACTTGGTATTAGAGCTTTATAAATTGCATAACTTTATTTCCTTTTTGCTAGTTGTTGACGACTTTGTTGGCAAGCATGTTTTCCAAGGAATTTTGCTGCCTTTTCTGCTGAAGGTGTACATACACTTGACAGTAATCTTTCCACGTGGCTTTTCATGGTCAATACAGCATGCCTCTGGGGGATGGTGTATTTCTGAGAGCACAGTTCTTAAACATAGTATAAAAATATTGCTGTAACTGAGTCTTCACGGAATTCATTCAACAATATCTAGAACCTGTTAGATCCAAGTTCAACATTTTAGACTTGGACTTGAACGATCCCTAAACTTTTGTTCACTCCTTTCCCGGAATACTTATCAGGCTGTATTCAAGGGCAAGATTTTAGTGAGCATGCCATGTTTGCAAGCCTGTTTGCGTAATCTTTACTCTGCATGCACTCTCTTAACCTTTTTTGGTGCAGCTACTATGGCTGATAGCTCTATCAGTTGCTTAATCTTGCTTTTGCTGAGTCATACTAAAGATCCTTTGCCATTCTAGGTTTTTGTTTTTTTTTTTTTTTTTCAGGGAAAGCAGCCTTGCTTTTGAGCAGCTTTCTCAATCTGTAAAAACACGTGCCTTTGTGAAGATGAATTCAAGCTTTGGAGTTCTGGCATAGCTGGAATACTGTCGTCTTAATCTATATGAACGAGTCGTCTTTTGTGAAAGAGAAAGGATTGATAACAAGTTAACAATGAGGATTTGAAGTAAATGGTAACTTCAGTTCCTTAGACCAGGAGAAATGTTTGTGTCACTTTAATCTCCTGTAAGAATGGCTTTTCTGTTCAATTACACGCTAGGCAAGATAACTTTAAATAGAATTTTTGCGTACATTCATCTTTTTAGATTCTGTAGTCAGAAGCCTTAATAATGGAATTAA